CTTCTAAAAAAAGTCTTGGGGAAGCTGGACTTATTCGGTAGACTTCTTAAGTGGGAAGTGAAACTCGGCGAGTTCGATATTCACTACCAACCAAGGGCAACCATCAAAGCACAAGCCCTAACGGATTTCATTGTTGAGCTTAAACCAATAGAGAAAGGAAGCAACGAGTCTTCTACCTTGACCAGCGAGGATACCCAGATGCCAAACGAGGGCACCCGGGAGCCTGGTGAGGACACCTAGACACCCAGTAGGGACTCTCAGGCGTCCAAATTAGGCGCCCAGGCCATCCTAGCTGCCCAACCTTCCTCCTCAGGCGCCCAGACACTCCTAGGCGCCTAAATCTCCTCCCCAGGTGCCCAACTCTTCTCCTCAAGCACCCAACCCTCTTCCTTAGGCTCCCAGACCTCCATCTTAAGCACCCAGACTTCCATCTCAGGCCCCCATGCACTCCCAAGTGCCAATCCTGGTGTCCAGGCTCTCACATTGATCTCCGAGCCCTCTTCTCTACCACTCTAGAAGCTCTACATGGACGATTCCTCGATTAGTGAAGGAGGTGGAGCAGGTCTAATCTTGATCAGCCTCGACGACACCCTCATCAAGTATGCTGTGAAGCTTCACTTTATTGCTTCCAACAATGAGGCAAAGAACGAAGCACTCCTCTCTAGATTAAAATTGGCAACTGAAATGGAAGTCAAACACCTTGTCACTTACAGTGATTCTTAGCTAATAGTTAATCAAGTAAAAAGCAAGTTCGAAACAAAAGGAGCCAGAATGCAGGAATACCTCTACATGGTGAAAAGCTTGATTACAAAGTTCCAATACTTTCAGATCTGTCATATCCTGAGAGAAGATAACATGGTTGCAGACACACTCGATAGGCTCATCTCATCCTTGGAAGCCCCACCAAGAGGACTAGCATTCATCGATCACCAATTCAAGCCAAGCAAGTTAGACGTGGAAGCCATAAATGTCAATTATGCATCTACTGATTCAAACTGGATGACCCTGATAAGGGCATACTTCCAAGAAAGTGCACTTCCAGATGACCCTTTAGAGGCTAGAAAACTCAGGATGAGAGCCTCCAAGTTCACCATCTTACAAGACACTTTATACAAGAAAAGCTATTCCTTGCCATTGTTGTGGTGTCTTTCACCCGAAAGAAGCTCATTATGCCTTGTGAGAGATCTACGAAGGAATTTGTGGAAACCACTCTAAAGGACGCTCCCTTGCTCACAAGGCGTTCGGATAAGACTACTTTTGGCCTAACATGGTGTGGGACGCCCAGGAGTTCACCAAAAGTGCGACAAGTGTCAGCGTTTCGTAACTGTACCCAAGCAACCACCGGAGGAGCTGACAACTATTTCGAGTACGTGGCCTTTCTCCAAGTGGGGCATCGACATCTTAGGCCCCTACCTCTCGACAAAGGACAATGCAAATTCGTGGTGGTAGCAGTCGACTACTTCACCAAGTGGGCAGAAGCTGAACCCTTAGCAAAAATCACAGATACAAAGGTCAAAGATTTTATCTAGAAGAACCTGGTCTATCGCTTCGGGATACCCCACGCCATTATCAGAGACAATGCTAAATAGTTCGACAACAAGCTACTGAACTCCTTCTGCTCCGACCTTCATATAAAACAACCTCATTCTAGTCTAGCACACCAGCAGGCAAATGGACAAGCAGAAATCATGGTGAGAACAGTGTTACTCAATCTAAAGACAAGGCTTGAAAGGGCGAAGGACCTTTGGGTTGACGAACTCCTCAACATATTATGAGCTTACCGAACTATGCCAAGAACTCCAACTAGAGAAACCCCCTTCTCCTTGTCCTTTGGAACTGAAGTAGTCATTCATGTGGAGATCGGGATGCATTCTCTAAAAGTCTAACACCATGACCCCATCACCAACAAGGAAAAAATCCGTATCAACCTCGACTTGGTAGAGGAGGCAAGGGAGATGGTTGTGGTCCATAACATAGAGTATAAGCGCCACATGGTGAAATACTACAACTCGAGGGTGAAGCCTCATTACTTCCAACCAAGAGATCTGACCCTTAAAAAAGTGATCCTCGCCACAAAAGATTCGCGAGAAGGGAAGCTGAGATCGAGCCCGGAAAGATCATACCTCATAACAGAAATGGTTAGGCCAGACACCTACAAGGTCTAGAATTTGGAAAGGAATGTCTTACTCTGTGCGCCCAGCTCAGCTGAGCTCGCTACACCACCGCTTGCATGCCTGACCGCTGCCTCCTGAACGCTCGAGTTGCCCAGAACAGCGTCTGAATGGGCGCCCAACTTTCTCACCTCACGCAGCTCGCCCATGGACAAAAAAAGAACAGTCTGCTCTCATATGCCTCCTAGGCGCCCCCCAAGTTAGATCTAGAGGAGAAAGGCTCTAACCTCAAGAACGCCCTTGGGCATTCACCTGTTGAAGCCAATCTCTTCTCCACCGTGCTCGACGAAAAAATGGCCACTGCCTTCAATGCTTGCTTTTTCCTCAATGACAATGGGTGCTTACTTCTTTTCCTTTCCAGTCGACATTGATCGAAAGGCTAGATGCTCAAACCCAAGAATCCCTAACCTTGGGTCTCCAAAGATTTCAAGAAGGAGTACTCTTGAATGAGTTGAAGGAAATGGGTAGAATGAAGAAGGAGGTTTCTACTTTATAGCCTAGTGTTTTCAAAGAGAGAAAAACCCAAATTGAAAATCATTGGCTCTTCTAGAATTCAAGAGGAGGAATAAAAGGAAGAGTTTATATAGTTGTAGATGTCCTACAGAGCTAAAATACATCAGGAATGAACAAGGAGCCTTGGTATCTGATTCAGAAAACTGTTTAAGGTCCGGGGGCGCTGCCGCCACTTGTCTGGGCAGGTCGATCCCTAAGTCGAAGTGCAACATGGACATAGCGAGAGAGGGTCTTCGTGAGTTAGAATTCAAATTAAACTGAATGCCCTCTTCTCCAAGTTCTATTGGACACATGTAGGAATGATAATTAAGTCAAGCTTGACGAGCATCACCATGCTCAGGCTCGGTTTGACATTTTGGGAAGTTGCTCAAGCTCGGCTTGAGCTCGATCACCAAGCTTATTTTCGAGCTCGAGCTCGGCTTGACAAAAAAAAGAAGAAGTTCAAGCTTGGCTTGATTAGGTTTGTTTTTTGTTAACAAGCTCAAATCCAAGCTCTAACTCATATAAAGCTTGATCCAAAAATTCGAATTCAGGTTTGCGTACAAGCTTGAAGTTTTTGCATACAGGTTTGAATTTTAACAAATTCAACACTAGAAAAATGCACATCCACTGAACAGATTGTGGGTTGTACCTGGATATTACCAAAATTTTACAATATCTGGACATCAAACTTGAGCAGAAAAATGAAGCAACATCCAACAAGCAGCAACAACAAACATCACCGAAAAACAACCATCAAACAACAAAAACATCACTAGAAGCAGCCACAAAACAGAGTAACTTGGGTTGAGAAATGGACGAGAGAGATTGTGGGTTGTACCTGTCCACCTGATCTTGGGTTGAGACGAAGAATCATCGGAGAATGGAGTTGAGGGCCTTGAGGTTTCATCGGAGAATGGAGTTTAGTAGACAAGAGATGTAGTTGAGGGCCTTGAGGCTTTCACTGCTTCGGGCTTCGAAGAACGGTGCCTTTAGATTTGGGTTTGGGGTGTATTAGGGTTAGACAAGTTAATGTAGATCATGTCCTCACCGTTGGATCTCAATAGGAGTTTGGAATGGACAACTATAATTGGACCATTAAAAATTAATAGTAAAACTAGGTAAAAGATATAAAGCTTAATCAAGCTTGTCAAGTAGCTCGAATTTAAGCTTGAGCTCGGCTTGTTTATAAACAAGCCTAAAAATGTGTTCATACTTGGCTTGTTTAAGATATTCGAACGAGCTCGAACGAGTCCAAAACAAGTCGAACTCAAGCCAAACTCGAGTAGCTCAGTTCGATTAACAGCCCTAGACATAGGGCATTGAGGGGCAAATGATGGGCCAAACCCAACTCATGTATAAGCCTAGTATGAATTAATGACCTAACTCCAAGAAGTCCAGCTAGCCAAGCCCAATGAGGTCCAGGTTCAGTCAAACTCATCAGCTTGGCTATAAGAGAGCATCCAGGAGCCTCACCCTTGTTATCTTGGAATAGTTAACCCTTACCTTTGACCGAGTCTCATGGAGAGCACCTCAAACGCCTTGCCCGTTAAGAATAAGTCGTTAGTTCCACCAGAATAGTTGTTTAGTTGCTAATATCTCGCCAAAATCTATTAAGAGGGCGACTATAAATTGTAAACCCCACCAACACTTAGGTGACATCACACTCAATTGAGCACATCTCTCCTCTCCCTCTTTAAGCTTGTAACTTTCTGCTCTCCATACACGCTTGAAATAATAAAAATACCCAGCGATGCTAGCCATTCAAAATGGACGTAGGTCACGTTGACCAAACCACTATAAATCGCTTTTGTCTCTCCATCTCCCTACTTTAATATTGCATTTATTACTGTTTACTTGACAGGTGATGTGCAAACTCAATTTGTGCATCATCATTAACGATGAAATTTAAGAGTAATGCTACATAACTCAAATGTAATTTAAAAAATTATAATTCAAATATATATCATTCATTAGATAAGTGAGTCTTATCGATTTTTTTAATACGATCCACTCATCAAAGACTAAGATAAAAGATAATATGTATTTGAGTAACATCTTTTTGGGTTGCATTTGAGTTTTATAACATTCTTCTAAATTTAACCGTGAACCTTTTTGTCTTTTCACTGGTGAAATAATCACGTAATTACGTGGACACCCCCACCTTTTGTCCATATCCGTGTGAGCCCCACCAATCACAATTGCCATACACTTTCCTACCTTTTTTTTTTCTATCGTTGGCAAACACTTATTTTGTTATTTATTTAATTTTTTTGGTCGGAGATTTTCTTGGAAAAAGACATAATTGCCACACACTCGCTTACGTAAGAACCAAAAATGAATGAGCACGCCCCCAGCGTACACGTGAGGGAGAGAGCAGAGAATCCAAACCCGGACTTGTCTGCTCGGAACAAACCCGATTTCATACTCGATGTTACGTCCGGGAAGCTTTGGTATTGGAGTATTACCCTCCGGCTGCATTCGGGTCAAATAGAAACAAAACGATTGTTGAAGAGACAGAGAGGCTATGTGGTCGTGAAGCTCTTGAGTCACTCCAAAACCACCAAAGATTTACCAATTCCTTGTTACCAAACATCACTAATCTCTCCATTCATCTTCAATCGATTCACCAACGTGAGTAGTTACCTTAATTTCAACAGGTATGTCTGTAGTTTTGCTTATATATGTATATGAAATAATTTTCTGTATTTGATTGGTGATTGTAATTAGGGAACGCTAGGGTTTGACTTTTGTGTTTTTATGGCGTTTCTTCATAGTGTGGTGTTTTGTTTTTGATTGGAATTGTATTAATTATGTTATTTATTTGATCATTTGTTGATTAGATCGGTCGTTATTCGGAGGGAAAATGGTTTGTGTTGATTGTTTTGGTCGTTAATTACTTGCGGTTGCAACTGCGGGACAACTACTGATTCAGGGTGTGGTTTTTGGGTATTGAGATGGATTTGATGGGTAGCTGCAAGGTATATAATTTCTCATCTTTGCGATAGAATGCTTATATTTCTGAGATTTTTGTTCAATATAGTTCACTATTTTACGGAGACTGATAATGGTTATAGCATGTTTTGTAGTATTTGAGTCAGTTTACTTGTTCAATTATGCTAGCTTGCCGAGCTTGCTGGTTTTGTATTGAGAACCAGCTTATCTTTAGCATATTGGATTATGGCCATTTGTCTTAGCAGTCATTTGTGCAGTTTTTGGACAAATCGATTTAGTGGTGTTGGGTAGTGTGGCATCTGGTACACTGGTGATTGAGATGCTGAAATAGTTCAAGTATGCATACTTATTGGCTTTGTACGTGGAAATGAGCTCAGTTGCCACTTTATGGTGTGTAACTTCATCTTGGAGCCCTTATACTAATCCACATGGATTTATTTGATAGTCATCCATCTGGGTGAATATAGTGGCATCTGATGTTGATCAAAGTTTTCTAGTGCCATTGTTCAGTCAAATTCTGGTGATGGACTCATGGATGAGGTAAACATGTCTGATAAGGAAAACTGAGTTTTCGCAAATGGAGTGATAACGGAGAAAGGTTATATATATATATATATTATATTCTGAATGTACTTGTAGTTGATGAAGTAGTTCCATGCTTTACCAATTATTTTGGTTCAGGCAATTATCTAAAATATCCATGTCTCTATTAGTTTTTCCACTATGTTAAATATTTGCCTATAAAGTGAACTCTTGTGAGTCTCAGTGGTCTCTCTGTGGATCAATTCAGGGGTTGCAGGTGATTCTTTCTTGAGTGGTATGGGGGATGCATTCGAGTATCAAATTTGTGATGGGAGGATTGTGCCCCTTTAGGGAAAAGGCCTGTACCTCATATTAAAAAAAGGTTCTTCTGGCTTTGTACAAGGGGTTGGGTGTTGGATTTTTGAAGCTTTTGAATGAAGATTTTGAATGATGCATCTGATGTCCACTATTAAGATTTAAACCATGAAGTTAGAGTTTTGGTTTGGGACTTGGGAGTATGGTATTATTATCAGGGAGTGATGATGAAATGAGATTTGAGGTATATCAATTATACTATTAAGAGTTAAAATGTGCAAGCTAGAGGTCTAGAACTGATGGATATGGTTCTTGGAAAGACTTGTGGTGATGTGAGATTGCCATCAAAAGGTTTCCCTTCTCTGTTGGAAAATATGTAGTGTGAATAAGTATGAGTGAAATGTAAGGACTCTGTGGGAGCGAAAATGAGGAATTGGAATGTTGTTTCCATTAATTATAATTGTTGGCGGTTAGAAAGTGCTCTTGTACATAGTAATCATAATTCACTAAGCCCACGACCTACAATTTGGTGACATCGATTACAAATGGGGTGGGTTCGTGATTCAGATCACTAAAATGTACGATACCAAATTGTACACGTAGTACAAAAATAAAATACATATTAATTAATTATGTGTATATAAATTTATTATTTTAGATAATAAAAAATGGAGCACAAATGTAATATAAATGGTAACTGACTTAGTGTTTATGGATGTTTTATGATATATAATGTTGCAAAGTGGTGAAAACGATCTAAATAAGAGTTCTAAAATGAAGTGCGACCCAAAATACTGTACTATCTAAGCCTCGTACCACGTCCTCGTAGCTGTATCACATACTAAAGCGACCCACAATGTAGGTAACATTGCCCTTGTAAGCAGAGAAGAAGGTGGATGTTAAGATTGAAATTAAATTCTAATGTTATTTCCTCAGAGTAATCCTTTTATAGGGCTTTTTGTAGTTCAGTGTCCAACTAATAGGGTGTGGAGTTATCTGATTTTAACAAAGGTTGTCTTCTCCCCACCTCCCGTTTGTCTTCTCCCCACCTCCCGTTCATGGAGTTTTCAATTTATAATTAGGTTTTTATGCAGGTTGCCTCTTTGAAGGATGGTTGCATAGTTGGTAGATCTTTCGCGCATTTGCTACTAGTGTGGGGGTTGCAGTGTCAATAAGCTATTTTCCCAAGTTCATTATGTGATGCCCTCTTCTGGTTTTCAATTTATATATTATATTAAAGAATTTGAGTTCATATCACACTCAGTTTTGATACTTAGCTTGTTCTGACACTGTTTTTAGGAGGTCGAAGCTAAGGTTCTTTTTTTTTTTTTTAATGTTATGTAGAGTAAAAGGTTGAATCGAAGGAACTTGTATATCTGAAAAAGTAAGATATTTAAGTAGCAAAGTTTGTTTTATTTAGAGTAATTAGGGGGGTTAAGAGAAGTAACTTGTGTATCTTAGAAAGTAAAAATGTTTACGAGGTATAAGCTTATAATGGTATTATCTTAAATGGTCAGAGTGATATTGAAGTCTTGGTATCGGTTGTATGGTGTAGATAGTTGATAAGTGCAGTCCTTTGCTTGGATGATATCCTTTGACTGTGATCCACCGAGGAGCTTATTTACCTTAAGAGTACTACATTTTCGTGATCCACCGAGGAGCTCATTTACCTTAAGATTACTACATTTTCAGCTGTAATGATCACTTTGCGAGTCATGTTCGAAGCCCGTGAATTTACATGTTAATCTAGGAAAGTTCTTGCAATAACATTTGGTTATTGGGTGATCTACCTTATATTTTGTTGTAAAAATAGAAGAGAAAATCCATCACTTTCTACTTGACTCCCTAACTAGTGAGTATTCCACTTTGTAATTTCTTTAATATTGCCGTGGAGCTAGGCTTGATAGTTTGGTTGTTTTTGGGGGGGAGGGCATTCAGCCGTCTTGAGTATTCCAAGTGAGGGGAGGCTAAAAATGACCTGTTTTGGTCGATCTTGGTCCGAGTCTTGGAGAGGGTCTGATGCTGCACAATGGATTGTGGCCAAGGGCAGAGCCTGAATTATGGGTTCACGTGGCCAATGTAAAGTAGGAAAAAGATATGATGTTGGGCTAAAGGGTGCCATATTGAAAATAGTTGAATTTCAGGGGGCCACCTCAATAATAGCTGAAAAGTAACATTGTGTGTAAAGTGATATAATGCAGTTCAAAAGTTTTTATTCTCTTTTTGTGTGTGGGGGTTTCCGGGGCCCGCCCCCGGGGGAGGGGGGGGATTGGCACCTGGCTTGCTTGTGGCTTCTGCACTGGGTGTGGCTGACATAAGAGTGGCCAAATCCAGCAGTAGTTCATAAATTTCTTGAGCATCTTTAGAAATTGCAACTAAGGGGAAATTTTCCATGGCTTTAGTTAATCCAATGCTTGCATTTGTTGCCTGCTACACGCTCTCATTTCAGCCATCATTCTGGCCATAGGAGTGGTCATGATACCCTCACTTATTTGTGCCCTTATTATCATGGTTGTAGAGGTTTTTGGTCTCTTTAATGTATGACTTAATCTTCAAAAGGTTGTTTTGGTGTTTTTAAGTTTTACAGGTTTTTGGTGTATCGTCGTCATGTATGGCTAAATTTTCAAGAGTGTTTGGGTGTATCATTATGTATGACTAATATTAAGGTTATTTTCTTATGCTTTCAATGTGCTTGTGAGTTGTGCCAATTTTTTATTCTCTTTTGCAGGATAAATTGACATATTTCCGAATAAAGGAGCTCAAGGATGTCCTTACTCAACTAGGGCTATCAAAGCAAGGAAAGAAGCAGGTTTGGCCCCTGAAACTCTACTACTGTTGGCTGTAGCTTTATTTTCTAACATGAATTGTTAAAGAGCTATTGCTGGCTTTTTCTGAACTTGGACTAGTGCAACCTGATAGTTGGGGTTTGTTTCGTTGTTGCAAACACCAGAAGTCCTACCCATAGAGTAGGAACAATGGGTTTTGCATTTTTCTTGATATTGTTTCTTGCATTTGGTTCCTCGTAGCACCACACTATTTACTTGAAGCTTTACTATGTCTTTCATTTCCATTAGAATATGTGAGTCTGCACAAATGTTCATCCTTCTTGGAACTGGACATTTTCCAAACATTTATTCAGTGCTCAAGGTTGCTCAAGCAGGGAAATGGGGACTTTTTTTGAAATGAACTCTCACTCTCTTTCTCTCTGCCATTTTTTGTCCCATAAATGTATTCTTGGTACACTTAACTTGCAATTGTTTATCCATGTAATTTTGAAGACGTCCTACAATGTTGTGCACTGCCGAATATCCGCTTATTTACATCATTGTGTGTTTGTCCTTATTGCTCATTTTTATATGACCTGTCAGAAGGAATCTCGTTTCAAGGGTTTGAGTTGGAATATCGTAGAAATATTTGCTGATGTGTCTCTATTTATTGCTTTATAGGACCTTGTAGACCGGATATTAGCCATTCTCGTTGACGAACGAGGTAAATATATATCTCCCATTTCTTCCTAAATGATGGATAAATTGTTTGTCAGCTAAAATAGTCTTCCTTATATACTTAATTGTTTCTTTTCCTGATTCCTTCGTATGTGAGCCGAAGCCATTACTGAACTTGCTGTCAGAAGATACTCTTGCTGCATAATTTGTTGTTGAATTTAAGGAATCAAGATATAAATATGTGACGAGTTTTGCTTCTCATCAAAGTTTTGTGACTATGTTCTGGTTAATTATTGTCTTGTTTCTTCTATTATTAATATCAATGCTTGATTTTTCCCTGTAGTTCTGCAAATCTTAGTTTCAGCTTGCATGGTTGTTCATCGTCACATTTTAAACCTTAGAACCCTTATGGATGAGCACCCTACGCTTCACAGTTGCACTCCTTCCTCTCTAACGGTGTCTGTCTCTTATTCTTCCTCTCTCTATTTAATTGGTATTGCATGTGCACCAAGTGTTGGTTGTAGGCCATCACAGGATTATGTTCTCTTCTTTTTTTTTTTCTCTGTGTGTGTGTGTGTGTTTATTGACTTTATTTTGTTAACATCTGTGTCCATTTTGTGTGCTGGTGCTTTCCTATGAGTAGCTGTGTATATTTCATTGCGCAGTTTCTGGGATGTGGGCCAAGAAGAATGCTGTTTCAAGGGAAGAAGTAGCAAAACTAGTAGATGACACCTTCAGGTGCTTTTTTTTTACTTTATGTAATTTGCTACATCATTGATCTGAGTTTGGGTTATTTTCGTAACCCATTCTCGTGGATCATTTACTACATTTTCCCATGTATGGAATAGGTCATCATCTCTCTTTCCTTTATTAGTTGCTTTAACATTCTTAAATTTTTTGTTTGTCGGCCCAGGAAAATGCAGGTTGCTGGGGCAACTGATTTAGCATCGAAAGGCCCAGATTTATCATCAAAAGGACCGGGTGTCTCAGAAAACAGTAATTTGAAGTCCAAAGAGGAAATTGAAGATTCTTACCAGATGTATAAGATTCAGTGTCCCTGTGGAAGTTCATTGCAAACTGACTCAATGATTAAGGTTACACCAATATCTTGTTTGTCTTCCCTGTAGAAGTCTCTCTCTCTCTCTCTCTCTCATACACACACACACACTCTCACTCATATTGTTTTTATGAGATCAAAGTTGTAGCACCACCGAATTCCCGGGTGTTTTGCTAGTGATTTTGGCTCACTTCTGAGTTTTTGTACTGTTATTTTTTCAGTATCCTGCAACATTTGGATTTTATTCTTCTTCTTAGTATTCACAAATGCTTAATTTTCTATCCGTGTTGTGCATTAACTTTTGATGGATGATTGCGTGGTGCAGTGATAAAATCGTAAGACTGACAACCTAAAGGTTATGGGTTTGAATCCGAGGACAATTGTTTTTCGCAAATAAGGCCAAAAGTTTATTTAGTTCAGCCTCCTAGCACCCTTGACTAACTGGGTGATAATGACCCTCAGGATATTTTCTAGTTAAACCTATATCGTGTCTGTTAAATAGCACAGCAGAATACCCCTGGCAACTGATGTCGGTGCAAAAAGATTTTCGATACAAGAACAGTTTGGCTTCTTGTATCAGTTGGAGTAACGGGACTTTGTTCCAATTTAAATGCCATTTGCGTTCATGTATGTCACCAATTCCATTTGTCAAATTGGTCCATGTTGCTAAAGAAAATATTATGTATGTGCTGTCGCGCTCTAGATTTTAATGGAATGTGCTCACTTTAATTCATAATTGTGGTTTTTTGGCAGTGTGAGGATCCAAAATGTAATGTATGGCAGCATATTGGTTGTGTTATGATTCCGGAGAAACCTGTAGATGGTGTGCCACCTGTTCCTCCTGATATTTATTACTGTGAACTCTGTAGACTGAGTCGGGCAGACCCGTAAGTGACATTCATGTTTTTATTTTCTCCCTCTTCTTTCTGTTGCTGGGTTTTAATGATGTTGGATGGTTCATTGGATAGATTACTTTTTTCCCCTTCCTCTTTGTCCTATTGATGAAATTTCTTATAATTATTTTGTTAGTCTTCTCAGAGTTTGATAGTACAGGTTTAGGTTTTATGCGTAGTCTTGTTTGCAGTGCTTAATATCATATATGGTGTACAAACTTGTAAAATCATGTGGCATTTTATGATGAGATTGGCGTTTTCTGCATTTTCTCAGTTTCTGTGTCATACTGATACCTTACAGACTAACTGGAAATCTAATATCAGTCGGAATGATGGGAAGTTAGAGACTCTCATGAGTCCAAATATATAGTATCTATAGAGGTGTCTTCTGCTATTTGCACAAGGACTAATTTCATTAGATCAGCAGAATGGGGTAGCAAATCTGTAACTAGTCTTCTCCATTTGTCTGTCGGTGATTATCCTTCATTTTTGTCATCTTTATTATTGCACACTACAGGTGTTCACCGAGTCACAGCCAAAGTTTCCTATGTAATGGTGTATATATTTTTTTTTCTGGCATTTAAAGCTAGAAGCGTACATGATTTGATGAAATTTGGAGAAGAGATGTACATTTTTTGACTTTTTTGATCAGGCCTTCTGTAGAGGTTGAAAAGATTGTCCTGGTTTTTCCTCCTTGGCTCAACCTGCCTGGTTTTGGTTGGCTATTTGAAACCATTTATCAGACGGGCAGTGAATGCATCTGAAAAACCTAACATAAACTTTAACCCATTGCCAATGTAGATATTTCATTGGGCTGCTTCACTAATAAATAATTTTAGTATGGTCAGATTCACGCGTAGAGTTTTACTTGATGGAAGTAGAAACTACTTTCTAATCGGTTTTTTAATGCAGCTTCTGGGTGACAGTGGGACTTCCATTATATCCTGTTAAGCTGATTATTGCAAGTGTTCCAACAGACGGGTGAGTGCATGATCTGCTTTTTTCCCCTTCCCCAAGTGACTCCTGATTTTTACAATGTGAAACTGTAATTTTTTTAATTGTTTTAATCCTTGCAACAATTCTGATATGATGTGCCTTTGTTTCAGCCCGTGTAATACTTTCTTATTTTATTAACAAAATTCAGTTTCTTATATTAAAAAAAATTGATATGATGTGAGCAGAAATCAGTTGTTGTAGAGCAAAGTTCTCATTTATTTTTATTATCCTCCTGTGGGCGAAAACATATGAAGTTGGACTGATTTTCACTTCAACAAAATTATTCATGTGGATAGAATACCTAGTGGTTTATATGCTCCTCTGAGTTTATTATTTATTATTAGGTTTTTCATCAATTTAATTTCTTTCTCTGTATGTTTGAAATTTCAGATTATTATTTGATGTCCAGTGTTTGGAAGTCATAAATCAAAGCTGGTTATTTAATGAAACAAGAATTCTGAGGTTCATTATATTGGTTCTAAATTTCCGTGATTCAATGTCAATTTATGGTGCTTAGCTTATGACTACAATACTGTTAGTGGCCAGCTATCTGTTTAAAAAGATCCGGGTGTCACTGAATTTTATATGGGGACTACTATGAATTTGACTCTTGATTTGGCATGTGGAAACATGTGCTTCAAGATTGACGAGGGCTGCCAGTGATATATCCCTTTGTGATGCTAGTTCTAGCGACTAGGATGCAGTATTCAGTGTTACTGATTTAGTGTGATGAAATTGTTTAGCAACTACATCAATCTGTCTGTTGATGACTGTCTTTGTTCATGCTTTTGGTGAATGTGTGCACTTTGTATGATGTAAGCAGCATGCAAGAATAACTTTTCATCGGTTTACAAAAACTCAAATGTTTCTTTGCCAGTTTTTTTTTTTTTGGTTATGCAAAATCCTGATGGTTCTGATAGATGGGTGGTTTATCCATTTTAATTTTCTTTTTTTGCTAACGGTTAGTTTTCACTGCTACTGGATGTAGATGTGTGATGGTTAGATAGAGATCAGCTTATGTTATTAATTGAATGATTTGGAGATGTTTTTTTCCCTCATTTTCTTTTTGATGATATTTTCATTTGCTTTTTGGGCATGATCCTTATTCTTCTTTGTCCATCCTTTGCCATCACGTACTCCATGTAACAGCATCCCTAATGTCCCTATACTTGTGTGTGAAAGAGGAGAAACATTGGTTTTTGTGTTTTTGCTGGGGACTAAGTTATATAGTATCCTCGAACATTTGTGGTTCTTCACGTGTGTGCTTCTGAGGGTCTGCATGCATCTGCTGTTCTCTTCTGTTATCTTTATCTGTACCATTTTTGCAGGACAAACCCTGTGTTTGAGAAAACATTTCAACTTTCAAGGGCGGACAAGGATTTGTTGTCTAAACAAGAGTATGATGTACAGGTTGGTCAGTGTACCATATGCTATCTGATGAAAATATAGGCCACCCACTCTGGGTGCACTAGCCTTAAATTTTATAGTCAGATTTGGTGGTGATAGTGGCAGCAGGCAGGGTTAGAGAATAGAGATATACTTATGATGATTGCCTCATTATGGTTTAGGCATGGTGTATGCTGCTTAATGACAAGGTACCATTCAGGATGCAGTGGCCACAATATGCGGACTTGCAGGTCAATGGTAAGCTTTATGTTTATTTTGCTCAACTCGTGTTTTGTTTAGGCAAGAGGCTAAAAATATTGCTCCCCTCTCCCCCTCTTTTGATTTGAAATTGTCATCTTTGAGGAACATACTAAGCTGTTTTCGTTCAATTATTCTCCTCTCAATTAGATATTACTGATGCTGCAGACTTACAATATGTAGGCTTCAAAGTTTGACCTTATATCAAACATATCTTGACATCTAGTTAGGGTGTATTTTCCTATTTTGAATTTTCCGTTCTTTTTTTTGTTGGATTCCATATTTGACGCTATCTTTGTTTCATATTGTATGTACCCAACAGGTGTGCCGGTGCGGGCCATAAACAGACCGGGGTCACAGTTGCTTGGAACTAATGGACGTGATGATGGCCCCATCGTGAGTTTTTTCACCCTTTGCAAACATCTGTTTTAGTTGCCAATCCCGTTGTTTTGAGAACTTTCTGACTGCCTGGTTATCTTTCAGTTGATTCCTTTGTTACTTGTGTGAGATATTGATTGTGAGGAGCATTTGTCCACTTTGCTTATGATAACTTCCATTGATTGGTGCTAGGATTACAGTTTTAAGAGCCCCGTGTTTGATGGTCTTGGGTGCTTTTCTCAGTTCATTACTTGTTTTGTCAGATCACACCATGCACCAGAGATGGGATTAATAAAATTTCCCTAACAGGATGTGATGCCCGCGTATTCTGTTTTGGGGTCAGAATTGTACAGAGGCGTACTGTCCAACAGGTAGGCTAATTCTTGCTCTGAGGTCCCTTAATTGGAGAGTGGAGAGTAATGAAACACAATTTAATTCGTATTCATTGTGGATTATTGTCTCTTCAGTTTGTATTGTATTGCATTCAACCCTATGTTAGCAGATTTGTTGTTGTTTTGCCAGGATTTTCTATAGGTGATATGCCATTGTCTTATATGAATTTCATTTCATGGGTAGGACAATGATCATGCTGATGGACCATGTTCACAATGATAATCGTTGTTCAAAGGTTATCATTCCTTAGTCATTACTGCATTGAAAATTTGTTGATGACACTCAAGCTGTTACTGTGGCTATGCTTCAGTTGCTGGATCCTGCTCTGTAGTCTACAAATTATTGTAGTTTCTTTGAGTATTTCATCAGTTTGTGAGCTTGATACCTCAGGACGTTCGCTTTTATAATGATGTCCG